AATGCTTTCTTCTAACAGGTGGACGAGAATGGGCTTGGTCCTCTTCACCATGCAGTGGCAAACAATGACGCAAAAATGCTCCAGCTTCTCATCAACTGCGGGCAACTGGATGTGAGTAGAAAATTTTGTGACAGCTGGATGATTTTGTCACTCTGGAGTTCTGAATACATACCCCTCTATAGCAAAAAAGTTCAAAGCAACTAGTTTCATCGCTACCGTAAATTTCCAGCTATTCGAGAGAAGTTTGGCCGGTCAATCACCGCTTTTGTTTGCTGCTCGAATTGCACATCCAGGACTTGAATGCGTCTCGTTGCTTGTTTCTGCGATTGATATTATCCGTAAACGGCGCCATGACGATGTGTTGTCCCAACATTTTGAGGACCTTCACAAGGAGAGGTGCGCAACTAAGCTATGAATTTTGTGCTTACTTTTCACCCCAAGGCAAAGGTTACACCTAATAACTCTACGATTTCATAAAGACAAACTGTGCCCTTATCTCCATTGATCCTGATCCTTGCCATTCGTAAAATCAGTGGGTTCAGAGCTGTTGTAGCGTGCCACCTTCTTTGCTCAAAAGTGTACGGGACGGCTGGAGGATAGTGATATCCCGTTGCCCGCTATACTCCTCCCACTGCCGCGCAATCATCCCTTATGCGTAATCGTAGCCATACACGCTGCTTTTATGTGCCCTTTCACTCTGGCTGTTCTCTACCGCCGAGTATGTGTTTCGCTGCGGGACTTTAATAACTGCGCTAGTGCGATACCCTTAGGATAGCTTGGGTGGAGTGTAGAGCCTGCAGCGAGGATCACCAGTCTCCGGACCAGTTACGTGCGTTTTTGAGCGAAGATGACGACGCCTTATTGCAGCTGCGGGCCCACTCACCTCGCTCATGGACAACCGTCCTTGGAGATGAGCGTACATTTTGACCCTAAGGTCAGAGTTCTCCTCATGCAGTTGTATTTTACTCATTTTATTCCCGTTTCTTATATTAAGGGACTAATTTATGATATTTAGTGCAGGTGCGCGTGTAACTATTAATTTTTAGAAAAGATCTGCTGAAAATGCTCCCCTTGCGTGATGAAGCTGATGCAAAGTATGCGCTCACAGACGCCATGGTGAGCTTTTGAGAATTTTTCAATTATCATTGTCTACTTTTTGAGCGAGCTGCCTGGGATAGTATACCTTATACGGTAGTATCCTCAAGAGGAACATGCACTCAGTAACACTATCAAGACGCCAGTTTTTCCAAATGGAGATGTCGGAATTTTGGGCGCGTAATACCCTTGCTACGATTCGGTACACCCATAATAGTCGGTAACCTTGTTTTCAGTGTCAGTTTAGTTCTGGTTCATCGAAACTCCATGAGACTCCTTACTTTCAATTACACTATTCACAGCGCTGATTGTCCTAAGAATGGTTCCTTTTTAGGGACGAAATGTAATACATTACGCTGCTCTCTGCAACGCTGCACATCTGGTGAACTACTTTGCAGCCTGTGGTGCGAATGTAAATTTAGTGGATGACAACGTATGTTTCAATCAGTCTTCCTCATTTTTCAAGTGAGACATCAAGATGCTCCTATGGTTTTTCATAGTTGCATAACGAGAGATTTTTTGAGTGGTGATGAGCCTGGATTCCGAAATGACTTCGGAGGGGAGGCTATAAATTTGGTTTTTAATCTCTTGCTGCTGAAGTATCATAGTGACAGTTGTCTTCCCTTTATGCTGCTAAATTGGTCGAAATAGCCTAGTAACGTCGATAACTTAGCGGGATATGGCAGATATTAATCGCAAGCATTGCTCCAGTGAATAATGTAAAAAAAAATTCGGCACTATTGAACTACTCCTACCCAAAAATTTTTTTCGCTGAAACGTTGCCTATAGATGTAATTCGATGCGCTGATCACGAATATCACATCCGTTTCGAGCGCTGGCGTCATTTGGCGCCATTATGCGCCAATTTGGCGCCCACCACTTTTTTCACCAAAGTTGATGAAAACTTGCATATGGGGGTTAATCGACATCCCCATTTGGCGCCATTATGCTCCAGTGCGGCGCTAAATTGGAGCGCAATGGCGGCAACGCAGTGTTGGGTTTGTTAATCAGGACCTCAATTAACCCCCATATGCAAGTTTTCATCGACTTTGGTGAAAAAAGTGGTGGGCGCCAAATTGGCGCATAATGGCGCCAAATGACGCCAGCGCTCGAAACGAATGTGATATTCGTGATCAGGGCATCGAATTACACCTATAGGCAACGTTTCAGCGAAAATTTTTTTGAGTTTTTGGGGTAGGAATAGTTCAATAGTGCCAAAAATTCTCTAGGGTGATGCTCCAATTCATTTGGCAGCGAAGGACGCAAATGTCGAAGCGCTCGTCGCGTTACTACGTCACAACTGCGACATAGACGTCAAAGATGCGTTTGGTTAGTTTTTTATTCCGAAGGTCAACGAATTCTTTTCCAACAATGACATCGGTAGTAAGGCCCATTTTCTGTGTAACAGTAAAGGTCCATTTGTTTCGTTTAGCACCTTGGACTATTGCTTGAGTATTGTATGACGGGAGTAGCTATCAATCTTGCGGACCTGGTTTTAATATGTAACATTGATGAATTTCATATCGACAGAAAAACGGAGGGCACATTGGGTTCCAACTGACGCCAACTGTTTCATGTTTCCTCCCAGATTGATGAATGAATGCCCCCCCCCTCCAAACTTTTAAATGTGCAGCCGATCCTATACCTCTGCTATTACAGATCGCACTGCATATGTTATTGCTGACTCCAAAGGTCACTCGGTGATTTGCGGTGTTCTTTTGATAGCAAAAAATGCTCCTAGCACTCGGCTTGTGGAGCAAATTAAGGGTGTGACTATTGTCTGAGCTCTCAGTGAATAGTCCTTTGACAATAATTTTTTTGCTTGGCCTAGACTTTGAAGTTATCTTCACTGATATCGTGCTATTCAATAGTATTCCGCAGGTACTGACTGCAACTCACCGATCAGCACTATCTTGATCTCCCTTGATTATGTGTCCTCAGATCTCAAAACCCCTCTATAAATTACCGGTTAGTGAAGTTTTGGTGCTGACATAGTGCGGGGTAGAGGAACGCGACAGCTTGTCTATGCCCCTTGGGTAAGTGTGTCAAGACGATGATGGTATCCCTCGTTGGTGGGCGTGGCAAGCGACGCCGCACCCGTGAGAAGTGTTGTCCTGAGTGGCTGTTTGAACATGTGTGGTGAAGGGACATGAAAATTTGATATCGCCCATCACGAAGTCTTGTCTTTCCTTGAACACGTATGAGTTTCGCTGTTCTTATGGACGGACTGATGCACATAGAAAACTTGCCGCGATCGCCGTACGTCACCTTGCGTGCGGTGAAAGCGACAAATTACAGCTGTCTTGCCCGTCTAACCCTTTCCTACCCAAGGCTAAGGCATGGCAGAGCGCTTAGATCCGCAATTGCGGTACTATGGACTTGCGGAGCTGGCTCCTCACTCCATTACTAAACCAGAGTTTATCCTTTGTGTTATAATTATTAATGTTGTTGTTGTTGTTAAAGCGCAGAAGATAACTTTTCAAACTTTCCTGTTTTCTTTGCTGTTCTGTGCCTTTCTACAAAGAGAAAGAGAGTTATCAGTGTAACAAACCTACCACTGAGAAGCTTCCTTGCAACACTTAAGTACGGAAGACGGAAGATCCCTTCTGCGCTCTTTGAGAAAGTTGTCGCTCTTTTTTTCGAGAAAGCAGGGCTGGGATGCAATTGTAATTCTGTCACCATTCCTCGACGTCTTGAAATTCTAGTGGGCGTCTATCCAGCTGACTAAACTGTTTGTATTCATCATCGTGATTCTTTGGTTTTGTTGTTTTTTTCATCTTGTGATTTTTTCAGAGAACTTTGTTATAGGATCTATTTTCTTGATGGATTCCTTTTAGCTTCCGGAATTCTTTGTTAATTTTGACAGTTACTTTCATATTGTTAATTGTTTGCTTTCTTCTGAAGAAATATTCATTTATCTTGTTATATCATAAATTGTTGCCATATTGTCGGTTGTTTGGGCTCATTTATCGAAACAAAGTGGAGACAATATGAATCCGCCTGATTGTTGACTCAGCAACAGTCGCAGCAAGGCATTTGAGCCCTGACTTTGTATGAAACATGGCGCATGCCCCTTGTGCACGTTATGACTCTTGTTCGGTTGGAAGCCTCAACTCAAGACTAAGTCAATAAAAGTAGCTTTAGGAGCAAGACACGGATAAAGCACACCTGAAACAGGTAGGCTCATTACTCTCTACCAAATGAAATAAAGGTGATAAATAAAGGTGAAGATTGATCCTCATTTTGATCGACAATTACATTGAGCTGCTCCTGCGGTGGGAGATTGCGCATCCCAGAATCGTAAAATCTTTGGGCCATATCTGAGACCCATGCTCCATCGGTCTAGACTTGTTTTAGCTTTGACTTGAGTATTTTTAAACCTGCTGACTACCGAACCTGGATTGCTAAACGCCCTCGGAACTAATAGTAATTATAAGTCTTCTTCAGTATGTTCTTAAAACGCCGCGCTAGAATTCTTTATGAAGAGCACCATGGAACATTGACGCTCGATAATACCGCTTTGTGCATTCCGTATTCTCTAGAGATCTCCTCATCATCATCACTGAACATTTCGTTAGTGGGACGAATCGTTCTCCTCATCCAACTCAGCTGGATACCTGGTGCGGTACAAATCAGCGGAACTGAAACTAAGCGTTAATTTGGACGCGTGAAGACAATTTTGGAACCATTTAGGAGTCTTTGTTTCTTGGGCTTTCAGTTTGCAAGCTGAGCTTATGCGACTTTAGCATCTCGATAAACCGAAAAACAGAAGGATGTTTCTGAACTGTTCATTTTGTCTGCTTTACCTTCCATCTCAATAAAGAGATCCTAAAAATTATCAGAATCTGGGGTATCAATAAAAAATTGAAGAGGTATCCCATAGTGGGAGG